GCTGCTCTGGAGCTTAACATGAGAGCTTTGTTCTCAGTTGTCAGTGGAATTCAGAAGTTGGTATGTTTTTGAACAATAGTCTGTTGTGTAACACCCTGTTATATGACTAAATTCTTCTGAAAAACTACCATATAAATAAAAGAGAATGTGAGAGAATTGTTCTTCCATCCATGTGTACATGTACAATATGAAGCTATAGCCAGCTACTACTTAGCTTAGCTCATCATGAAGACTAAAAAAAAGGCAAAAAACTGAACTGCTTCAATCCTAAAATAAAAAAAGTCACTAATTAAGTGCAAGGCATGCATGAAAGACATGAAGACTAGAGCAAAGTAAGTTACTAAATGTGTTCACCAAAATATATCCATCCATCTATTTTCTGCTGTTCTTCTGGGTCTTGCAAGTCGGGGATGAAACAGCCCAGACCTCTCTTCTCCAGCCACCTCCTCCAGCTCCACCAGGAGGAAACAAAGGTGTTCCCAAGGTAGGCAAAAGATATAATGTCTCCAGTGGGTCCTGGGTCTGCCCCGAGGCCTTCCCCTGTCAGGATATGAATAAAACACCTGACCTGGCCTATGCCCTAGTCATCCCAACAGCTACGTTGTCAAAGGTGTATTAACCCTGACAAAATCTCCCAAAGCAAGTAGGCCCTTGTTGAGAAGCCAGATAAAGACCATCCATCCATTTTCTTCAACATATCCAGCGCTGGGTTGTGGGGACATTAGCCTAAACAGAGAAGTGCAAACCTCCAACTCCCTGGCTACCTTCTACAGGTTATTGAGGTGAACACCAAGGGTTTCCCAGGCAAGCATTTCCTGGGTCTACCCCAGGGCCTCTTCATTGTAGTGCATGTCTGGAACACTTCACGCAGAAGGCATCTGAGTCAGATGCCCAAAACACCTCAACTGACTCCTTTTGATGTGGAGCAATAGTGGCTCTACTCTTATAGATGGGATGACAGAACTCCTCATCCCATCTCTAAGGCAACAGCCTGCCACCCTTCATGGAAAGATCCCTTCTGCCACTTGCAAACCCAATCTCATTCTTTCAGTCACTAACATATGCTTGTGACCACAGGTGAGGGTAGGGGTGTAGATCAGTGGGTAAACTTACAGCTGGGTTTCTACACTCAGCTGTCTCTTCACCACACCATACCAACACAATGCAGCCCCAACCCATCTCTCAGTCTCCCAAGAGTCAAATGAAGACCTATTCAGTGGGGACTCAGAGTGCTCTCAGTGGCTGAGGCCCTGGTGGTCCAATCCCAAGTGGCTGTATAAGATCATCTCTTGGGTGTGGAAGGAGACTGAGCTCGGAAAGTGCCCCATCTGGATACTGCATTGTCCATTTAGGGGCACTTCAACTCTCACGTGGGCGATGAAACTGTGACCTCAAGGGGTTTGACTGGGAGGAACAGTGTGCCAGGCCTGAACACAAATGGTGTTCTGTTATTGAACTCGCACTTTGTCCATAATGCACCTTCAACCTTCAAGCAAAAGGGTTTCCATACATGCATGAGGCACAGCATGGTTGGAGTAGTGAGTTCGACACCAACAACTAAGATACTTTCAACTGTCACCTCAGCAAATAGCTCAACATCTTTTTTATTTGGCAGACTTTTACATTGGATGGACGTAACCCCCAAAGGCATTTGTCCCTCCCCCTGGAAATTTAGGTAATTTCTATTATAGTTTTGTCTATTGTTTGTCAGTCTTCTGGTGTGTAAACAAACCTTTGTCAGTTTTCCAAAACCAAAGGTGACATCTGTTCAGTTAGTACTTAGATAAAGGCAGGAAAAATCAATCTGACAAGTTTCAACTCACATTTTTTACCACTTTTTGCAGAATAACCTAAATTCTAAATAAGAATAAAACAAGGCAAACAGGTCCCTGTAAGTAAGCTCTGCTGTACTCGTATGACATGGTTTCTGATATTAAATAACATCAAATTAAAAACAAAAACTAGGAAAACACTTGTGGTTTAAAATGCTCACTTTCCTCTCACAGGCGCTCACATCCTCGGCTGTTGTGACGCCAGCTTTGACTGATACTCACCAGAAACACAAAAACCACACAAAGCTCTGCAAGCAACCAGATACATTTAATTAGATAATTGCTGTTGTTTCTTTTTCCACCTGGAGACTGGATCGCTGCATTTTTACAGTGCTGGTGAAGAGAAAAGCAGTGAGGAATATGATTCTCTTTGACCCTGGATAAAGCTGTAATTTCATCCAAAGGAGACAATCAAGCATCAGGATTTAAGTCGCACTGCCCATGAGCTATTCAGGTTAGACAGGCAGCGGTGGCAGCCTGAAGGGTCCTCAGTGTCGAGGTATTGTAGTCGAACCCCCACGTGACCGCACACTGATACACTGCAATAACAGCTACAGTGTTTTAGGAGGAAAACCTGCAGCATGACTGTGTGAAGGGAATAAGAAAAAGGCCTAAGAGAAACTGAATACTTGTTGTTAGTGAGAATGAATCACACCATAAAGGCAGTAAGGAGGAACAGCCTGCACACGCTTCTTTTAGATTATAAAACCTGAGGAGAGGCTGGTGGTGAGGGAAGATGTGCTGCAATGTGGGAGGTGATGATTCAGATACTGATTAACACAAAATATTTTCATTATTTGGGACTCTGCGAAGATTCGGGGTTCAGCATCTCACCCATGGACACCTCAAAAATTGAAATCAAAAAAATTAACCACGTCATTAATAGACAACCCACAGTGTAGCTGTGGATATTGTAAACAAGTGGTAAACGTGGCCCAGTCCCAAGTATTTTGTTTTTTTAACTGTGTTGTTTCCATTTCAAAGTGACCTTGTTTTGTTCCCCTTAAAATGGCACACTTTAACCATTGGAACATTTTTTAATGTTCTATTTTGACTAAAATATGGGTTCCTGACATCTGCAAATCATTGCACTCAGTTTTTATGAACATTTTACACAGCAACTTTTGTGGAAATTTATTTGTAATAAAATGATACGATACTATCACCATACTTTGCTCATGATACGATGATATTAAGATTTTTAACATTTTGTGCGTTTTGCAATAACATATATTGTGATTTATCACATTTTCTTTTACTTAAAATTATGTAGTCTAAGTAAAATATTGTCAATATCTGTTTAAACATGCTGGCAATCTGTCTACATTTGTAAAGTAGAAAATAATTACTTTCAAACCTTTGTCAATTTCTCCAAGTGACTGCAGTCAGTCCAAGTAAGACCTTTTGCAAAAAGGTTGACTCCTATCAGATGATCCGTGCAATCAAAAGTGCAACACCTTCAAGATCTGGGCAACCATTTAGTCACAAGTTACGATCAGTCGCAGCACGTGGAAAAATTCACAACAATCAACAACAGATTCCAGGAGGTTGCTGTCCTATTTTTACTTGTGTAACTGAGCTATCAGCTTGCTGTCAATCAGGAGGTAGCTTTGTCAATTTTGCTCTGCTAATGTTATCTCGGGAAGGTAGTGCACTTTTATTCGTGGTATTTTCAGAG